GCATAAATGCTGTCCCTTCCACACTTCACTTCAGCTCTGATGGAAGTCATCTAGACTCGAGCTTGCTCTCTCTCCATGGATGTTGTATGACCCACTGTGATCTCCAGCAGTTCTTGTTTTCAGTACAATTCCCTCCCACCTACCCACCCCTCCCTCCTCACTGACGAACCCCCATCCCAACTCGACCTACACTCACCTGTACTGGCTTCATCCCCACCTCCTTGACCTGTCTGTCTTCTCTCCACCTATCTGCTCCTCTATCCACCTTCTTTCATCGCCTCCCCCCTCTCTATTTATTTCAGAGGCCCCTTCCCCTCCCCCATCTGTGAAGAAGGGTCCAGACCCGAAACGTCAGCTTTCCTGCTCCTCTGATGCTGCCTGGCCTGCTGTGTTCATCCAGCTCTACACCTTATTATCAACAGGCTTGTGGGTTGTCTTTCTCTCTCAGGCAAAAGCTTCTGTTTCAGAAGTTTTTCTCTGACTATTTTCTAAGCCACTCAGGATGACTTTTCTTCTGCCTTGACTGTTTTGGAGACTGCTAAACTATGCTGTTGATATTACAGGTTTTTTCTCTCCAAATGATCTGCTTCTTTCTTGAAGAAAAAAGCCCACTCTCAGATAACCAAGGTGTTTCTGTCTTTCAAACATAATCTTTCTCTGCCTCTCAATGCCCTAGGTCACCTTGCTGTGAGACAATAGTCCAGATTTCATAGAATCATAGAATCCCTACAGCCAATCGGCCCAATAAAAAGCACACCGCCCCTCAGAAGATGATCCCATCCAGACACACTCCCTACCCCTATCCCTATAAAACTGGATTTCCCATGGCTAATCCACATAATTTACACACCCATGGACACGGCGGGCAATTTAACGTGGCCAATCCACCTAACCTGCACATCTTTGGACTGTGGGAGGAAGCCAGAGCACCCAGAGCAAACCCATGCAGACATGGGGAGAATGTGCAAACTCTAAACAGACAGTCGTCAGAGGATGAAAGAGAACCTAGGTCCTTGGCCTGTGAGGCAGCAATGCTAACCATTGAGTCACTGTGCCACCCCTCCCCTTGGCTCCATTTTCTAAAGCAATGAACTGTTCACCTCAAAGGGCTGTTGTTTAGAATCTCATTTAAATGCACGTAAAGGTGCTTCCAGACAAATCTCACCACTCTCAGAACTCAAAAATGAAACTGAAGCTATGTCTCCTCTTTCTTATCAGACAAAACAGAGATAAAAATCAAACTTAAAGCAATACACGACTCTGTCCACATTAGAACACAAGTTTCAATGTATTAATAATATACCATGAACCTTCCTAATTACATGCTGTACCTCTATGCTATGATTCCTGTACCCTGACACCCAGGTCCATTGTGATGAATTATGGAGGTATCACCACTTACTGTGTAGCAGTTGATATAATGGTTGTATTTCCCAGCTCCTCAGCCAGCAGTGTGAACTGGGTGATGTATTCATCACTGCTGAATTGCCCGGAATGATGCTGAAACCAGTCGATATTGGGCCTTCCCTCTCCTCCTTCCAGGGTGATGTATTTGACTTCTAACCTTCTGTGAAGCCTGTGGGCCTGGGCCACAAACCAGTCACGTGCTTCCTCATTACTGAGATTCAACTTGACGACAAACTTTCCCCTCCACTTCATCACGAAAGGGACCTGCAGGGCAAAACAGAAACATCGAGAGATTAGGGAGTTTCTGCAGGGAGGGCAGACATGAGAGGGGTTGAGGTGGGGTGGAACGGGACAGCCAGCAGCCCCAACAGTGAAACATGCAGTGATGGGGAAACTGTGTGACTAGGAAAAGGAAGAATTTACAGTAAGTACTGAGAACGCCATTAAAACACACCAATCTTCCTGTCTCTGTAAGACAGCCATATGTCCTCCTCTACCCATGCTCTTCAAAGAAAAGTGGTCCAAGGCCAGCTCTCCATTCACTTCCCACTAAGAAAGAGTTACAATAATATAACACCCCTCTCTGTACAGCCCAATATCATTCTAAATCAGCACTGGACATTCCCAAGCACAGGTTTGGATACAGTGTAGAGCTCTCTCTGCACTGTCCCCATCAAATATTCCCAGAACAGGGACAGCACAGGCTTAGATACAGAGAGAAGCTCTCTCTACATTGATGGGTTTTGGTGAATTTTGCCCCAGTGCTTCATTCTGTTTGAGAGCAGCGATCCTGTGGTCTGAGGTACAGGCTGACAAACAGGGACTAGGCTTAGGTCAGTACTGTGTCCGAAAACCACAGAATGGGATAGCTCCGGGCAGATGAAACTTTGATACTCCTGGAGCTTGGCCACATAAAGTTCCATGTTTGTTGACATGACAGAGTGCAATCAAGCAATAGGGAAGAGAGTACCTGAGGTGAATGTGTTGTTGCTGGAAGGCTGATCCAGAAATGTTCCCTCCCTTGTTGTAGGATTGTCCGGAACTGGTTGGAGTCAATGCTGATGTAGGGGGAGAGTGTGATGCACAGTCTCAGCTGATGCAAGTTTGGGTATCTGCTGTTTGGAATGCGAGTCTTCCCTGGGCTGTCAGGTGCACTGTGTTCCTGCAAACAGCATTGCACTGGAATTAAACAGTGTAAGCAATCTCTGACAAGTCACCTGCAACAATGCACCCCAGTGACTGGGCTGTAGAGACTCAACGTGACCAGACCACGCTCTACTGCCTTGGCTAATTCCTACTAAATGCCAACATCATTGTTTTAATTATAATGTAATGAAGGCAGAAAACACCAAAAACATGGTGAAGCACTGTGGAGCTGCTAAACTGAGATGCACAATAAGATCCAACAAACAGCAATAAGCAGTAAAACAATCCATATGCTTTCTGCAAGTTAGTACACTGACATAAAAAAATACACTCCTACCTCTTATATGGGGACACAGCATCCACCAGAGTATTGCATCTAAACAATTCACCCTTCAACAGTGCAGCACTTCCTCAGTAATGACTCTCTGACAGTGCAGTGCTCCCTCAATATTAATTTTCTGACAGTGCAGCACTTTTGACTAGAGATTCTCAGATCTTCATCTGTAGTCTGTGTCCTGACACCTCTCTCCAAATTGTTCAATTGTCTGGTTTTCAGCTTTTCCCTCCAATGAAACACATGGGAGATTTTGGCCAGCATGTCACCTTTCCTTTCAGCGTCTATTAGCTTCCTCCCTTTAGCCTGTCCTTCCAGGTACTGTCAGCCCTCTCACACTGCACAGAGCCTGGCGAATTGGAATGCCACCCATCTGCCACTCATTAAGCAGCTATGCCATGACCCTTCCATCAGCTCAGAGCTCCTTCTCAGTGGCATCCAGAGCTCAAAGGCAGTCAGTATTCTAGGTAATGATGAAAAATGACCGCAGATACCCACCAAACCCAAGCTGTACTTGAGGAGGCAGTCAGACAATCAGTAAACCATCACAATCAGTACCAAAGACGACAGCAGGAGCACTCACTTCAGCGTGGCACATTCAACCAAATGTTTCATTGGAAGATTGTAAGCTTTATTGCTCATGTCTCTGGGTGCAAGCAAGATTTCCCACATTTGAGTTATGTTTTGAAAGGCAACATCTAGCTGAAAGATATCCATTGTCAGTATTATGTGTGCACCTTGCCTTTCAAGAGCTTCTTTCCATATGTTGTGTATACAATGTTATGACTCTGCCTGACAGTCTGTCTGCTGTGACCTGCAAGCTGCGCACGCAGAAATCAGTCACTTGCTATAAAGTGTGCTACATATCTTACGAGACAACAAGGTGCAGGGCTGGATGAACACAGCAGGCCAAGCAGC